TTAGAGATTGACTATGTGCCAATCCTCTCCAACTGTGGCCATTTGATCCTGCACCAAAATTGCTGTTGACCTTCTCTGGTATTTATGATGCCAGTATGGATTTTTATCATTGTTTGAGCTTTTGACACAAAGCAAACAGTTTCTATTGCATGTTTTTATCCAGGCAATGTACAATATGGGGATTTCAGCCTCTCTAGCAAACTTGGCATTTCTTTTCTTAGATGGCTGGTTAATGGGGTGACTCTGTTTTAATGCCTTAACTGGGTTTCCAAAGAAGACTTAGTTGCACAGATGAACGGTCTGTGCAACTAAGTTTAAGTTGTAAAAACTTGAACTACTTAAGTAGTTTAAGTTCTGCAGAGGAGTCAACCTATGTTAAATCACTTGAAATACACTACTTACTTACTAACTGCTTTCTTAGAAGTACTTAAAATATTTACTTAACTAATCTCTGCCTAAAAGTACTCAAAATAATTACAACATTAGCCAGCTAGAGTATACTGGGAGACTGATAGATAGTAGAAAGGYATTAACTGCTCAGTGTAGCTTCTGAGTTACTAGATGAACTTAGAAATACCATGGCCTTATATATGATATCCAGTCTAGCACAAAGGCCCTCACTACTTATCTCTACAGGGATTATTTCAGGTGTCACTTGTGGATCTCAGTTGTGACTCATATGAGGCAATAGCCTAACAGATCTACGTACAGACAAGAACTGCCACATGACACTAAGCAATAAAGTGCAATAAAGCACAAAACCAAGTCTCTTCTGTRAATAAATACAGCACTCAGCACAAGRAGACTATGATCCTAGCTGGACAGGCAACCTGTAAACAATAATCATTATGATTTTTGCAGTCAGATCCCCAATAAATTCACAACACCATTAAAAAGAGTGCTCTTGAGAATCCATATTTAATACATAGTTAATTCAAAATCAGATGCTTGGGAAAAAGAAACTGCACTTCACTATYGAGAAGGTGGGTGAGCAAGAATAGTAAAACGATTAGTGCATGTGGCCTTTAAAATAAGTTAAAGATTGATGGCAGAGAGCATAGCTCTGGACTGATCCTTTTCTCAGAAGAATTCACACAATTTCTGTAATAAAAGTATATTGGTTTACTAATCCTTGCTGTCTTAAACACTTTGCAGCACTTTATCCAAGAGTGCTCACAATCTAAAGTCGTATTCTCCTGCCCTTAGGCTAGATGCTTTCTCAAGTTTAGAGCTGTCAAAATCCAGTGAAAGATGATCAGAAAACCTAATTGGTGTCAACTAAGTCACAGACAGGGTACATGAGGAGTTATCTTCACCAGAGCGGCTGCAGTCTCACACCTTTGAAGTCAATATTCTGTAGGTATCTATCTGTCCTACAGAATCAGTCTGCTTGTCTTTGAGAAAGGGAGAATGAGGATAAAGTAGAAATGCCCAAATCCCATCTGAAAAGCTGGATCTGACTCATAAAATCAGTAACTAGTTCCCCAAGGCATATTTATGCCTAAAGTTTGAAACTTTCATATAAAAGTAGTCATAATTAAACAACCTCAGTAACTGCCACGAGGAGCCTCTAAAAATCACATTGCCTCAGAGACATTGTTTCAGGCTACTGAAGAGAGGTGTGAATTCCTCYCAAAGCCTAAGGTTGCCACTTCAAAGAAGAGAATTTCAAATAAATTCACATATGTAAAAACTTAATTTGTGCATTCAGCTACAGAATAGTTGGAACATTTATTGTAAGGGCATATGCAAAGAGCTTATCAGAAAAGGGCAGAAAGAGCAATAATTTAAAAAGGAATATTGCTCCTTTTTCCTATCTAGAGAGTGAATGTAATAATAGTTGTACCAACTRAAATATCAAGTTTCGATGTGTGTAAGGGCCTGATCGTTTCAGCAGCTCTTGGGATTGGTGGATACCCCAGGTGCTATTTAAAACATTGTCTTTCCATGCAGAAAAGTGGACCTGGCTAAACTACAAGACAGCCCTGAGTCTGAGCTTCTTCCAAGAGTACTGTCTAGAAAAAAAAAAAGGGAATTTAAGCAAACGGTCTCTCTTAGTCATCATGTTCACCTGAGAAGAAAAGTTGTTCTGGGCACAGAAAGACTCACAGACTCTAGGASCTTCTCTCTCTTTCCCTGCATGGCAGGAAACTGGAAGAGATTGTGTTGTCTCTTATCTCTYACCTGCCATCAACCCACAGAAGGAAGCTCTCTGCTTTCCTCTGCTGCTTGCTGTGTAAAGTCTTTTGCTTGCTCAATCARTCTCATGTGAAAACAGGTTTTAATGGACAATTCTAGGAAACAATTGAGTGTCTGAATATTTCTAAATGGAGAATAAGCAGTTCTAAAATCACTCTCCAAGTTGACGTAGGGTATAGTGTGAGACTCCTATGGAGGTTATAACTTCCTATCACTGCAGTGTTATTTGTTTTTTGATTAAGTAATATTTTAACCAGCACACTAGACTGTCCCAAAGAAATCCCCAACTTATCTGGGACTTCTTGGGATGAGGAAAGCAAGAGATAACTAAAAAACACTAGTTTAAAAAAGATACTCTAGAGGGTTGCTTGAGGTYAATGACATGAAACATCATTTCAAGTGACACTGCTAGTAGAAAAATAAAGTAACAGAGGACAAATTAAGATACACTATAAGATTAAAAAAAATCTTTTTCTAAGCTGTTGTGAGCCCAAGTCAGATTTTGCAGGGTTGGGCAGCTGCATCAGTATCTATCCAATTTAACTACCCCCACTTTCCAGATCATCTGTTCCCAATGATTTCCACTTTCCTAACACATCTCCAACCTGTGACACAGGCTGGAGCCCAAGCATTGGTTAGGACCCTTTCTCTTCTCTTTCTTCTCCAAGCTGCAAGGTCACTTCGGGCATACATCCCTTCCCAAATCCTCTCCCATCCCACCCAGCTCCTGAGGATAGGGAATTGTGCCATTAAGCTTTTTTTTTCTTTTTTTTTTTTTTTTCCAAGTGACATGGTTAGGGATATGAGGAGATGCAGGCAACAAACCAAAGTTGTTGCTAGGCTTAAAAATATAGTGGAGAAGCAGGGGGTAATCAGAGATCAAAAGACTGACCAGACCACTAATAAAATCATTCTAAAATAATTTCCTGGCTTGAGGGCCATCTCTTGATTCTTGGAATTGGGATCATGACAAGTATGTCATAARGGCTGGGAAGAATTCTGCGTCTTTGTGTTTTAAAGCTTTCCACAGCCCTGACCAGCAGATCCACCTTGCTTCGCTGTCCAGAGASTTGTGACTCGCATCTGCTTTATAGCTTCAAATAATCATTCATCTTCCATCTTTTCTGCTTGTATTATTTTTCAATCTTAGACTTCCCCTTTGCTTCATATTCCCTTCTTTACAAGTAGCTTTTATGCTTGGTTTTCTTTCCTCAGTAAAAAGAAGAATACCACTGTTGTGCATTCATTGAAACTATGGAGGGAAATTTAAGTGAGAAGATGATCCCCCATATTATCTTAAGTCCCACTGCAGTAGCTTTGATTATGCAGTGCTCTAGGCCCAATTTCCCTTGCCTGCCATACCATGCTAAAATATCACTATTAATGTGGCAACAGAGCAGAGTGGAACAGTCCAATAGCATAACATTAGTCCCTGTGCATACATTTAAATTACTGTTGTCAAAGTTTATGCTTATATGAAATTCGGGGTTCGGTGTAGGGAACGGCTTCATGAAGAGTTTTTAACAAAATCTTAAGAGCAGGAAAAACTTTATAGTCCTCAGTGAAGCAACAGTTTGCAGGTGGTTCAGTAAAGTAAAAGAGGATTGCTTCTGGTCTCCTGAAGGGATATCAATATTTCCCAAGAACAGAAATGAACTCATTGAGAAGCAAGCACTGGCATTGATTCCCTGACCACAGAGCCGAAGCTGGCAGCTTCTGCCTTGTTAGCTGCATACTGGGGAAGTCAAAGAGACTGTATCAGTATGAGATAAGTCCATTAAATGTACTCTCCTTTCTTTTCTATCACCTTTGTAACTGGGTGGTCTGTTTGGCTTTTGTAAATACTTTCATTTGCTTAGACTGAGTTTTGCTTGAGATTATTTAAACAGAGCTGACTAATACCAGGCTGCAGGTCTTAAAAGGCTGCAAACTTTCAAACTGTGATGTCTCTGCATTTCCCAGAACTCCAAAACATGTTCAAAGGGTTACAGGAGCACAATAGGGCATGTCTTTAAGTCTGAAAATATGTAATACTGCGGTACAAGACAATTAAGTAGCTTCAGCAGTGAGTACTAGCCAGGAAAGGGCTCTGGCTTGTGACAAGGTAGTAAACTCCTTTGTAACAACCTCCTTAGTGAGTTACTATGAAAATGTCCTTCTGGATCAAACTCGCAAGAAAATTTTCAAGGGGCTGTGGGAAATGGGGATGGGTAGAGAAAACTTACACAGGTTGTTACTTCATATCCTGGGCATGGTATCAACTCACTAGCAGAAGCAATATAATTCATTTCTAATAAAGAAGTATAATTCATTTCTATTTACAAGCAAAAATCTGCCCCATTCATCCTTCTCTCTAGTCCAAACACCATCCTAATAAATTCACTTTCAGTGACTAAAAGAAGAAATTATATTTAAAATAATAATTAATTTTATAAATTAAAAAGTAATCTAAAGTTCTCTTGAGTGTTGAATAACTACAGGTATTTAGAATGATGCATGAATAGAGAATCCTCATAACTCTTTCTTTAAAACATACTAGATTCTCAAGCTCTCACCTCTTCAAGTAATTAGACCAATAAAACAAAGAAAGAGATAATTAATGTTGTCAACCATACTATATATGAGATTGTTGAGGAAAACAATGGAACAATGGATTCATAGATGGAACAATTATTTTCAAACATCAGAACACGAAAGATTTAACACATCTCAGACAGCCYTCTTATCCCCGCTCTACGGCTTACTTTAGCAAACCCCTCTCCCTCCCAATAAATCAAGAAATTAAAACATCTTCAGAATACCTTTGAACTTGTGAAAGACGGCCCAAAGCTCAGCAATGTCAGTGGCAAAAGTTATGTCTGTGTCGAGGACAATGACTCGCTCAAGATTGGAAGGTAGCGTCTTAGTCAGAACCAACTTCATCAGCCCGTAAATACCAGAGTAGTGTTTGTTGGGGATCCAAGACACTTCCGACTAACAGGAGAAGAAAAGTAGACAGAGGAAGAAAAAAATAAGCTTCATTAGGGATGAACTGCTTTAGGATAAAATCTTCTCCTGACACCAGTTTCTTGTAATAGTGGAAGTTCTCTTAAGCACCAGCAAAATAGAACTATAAAATGCTAAGTGGAAATACATAACTAAAATCTTAGTTTTAAATGAACTTCAGAAGATCTGTACCGGCTAAAATTTCTGAAGCCTTTAATAAAAACACTCTTTGAGGCAAGTACTTCACACAATAGAATTAAAATTAGATCAGTCTCTTCAGCCTGGTACAGTTTTTTTCTGGGACATTTTCGTATGTCCTGACAAAACTGAAATACATACTTAATCCAAAATTCCAGGTGTATTATAAATTGAATTCATTTTCAAACAGACAAACAAAAAAACTTTTGGGGTTGCCAATCTCTATTGTTTTTCCTGACCCAGAAGCTAAAGTAACAAAGATACATTTTTGCAGATCTGAAGGTCAGAATTTCAAAATGCTAGTATCCATTTAGAACAACCGGCCACAATGTTTCATAAAATTTGTTTTTTAACAATTCAGATATTACTTTAACCCCACATCTTTAACTTGTAACTAATTACAGTAAAGTACAGAAAGTAGAGAAATTGAGAAAAGATTTTCAAACTTTTGTCTTTTATTTTTATATATAAAAAGGTCACATCCAAATACTCTATATAAATATATATATATATTTATGTATACAAGGACTAAAGAAAAATTTGCTACAGCTTCTAAAATAAATTAGGAGACTAAACTTGCTATTTAATTGTGATAATGTCACTAGGATGTTTCATGAGCCCTTAACTCTGTTTCATTTTCTTACTACGGGAGTCAAATTCTCAAATACCAAAAGTCACTGCTGAAAACTGGGCAGAGATRTTCTTGAAAAGTCCTATTGCCCATCCAATGTTCCCCTCAATGTTTTAAAGACCATCTAATAAAAATCTGAGGCTTTTATTAATTTTCTCTTAAGCAGTGTTCCCTTTAAGTTCAATCAGTATTTCACGTACAGAGTATTTGAGTGGAATCAGACTACAGGATTTGGCCTAGCATCTCAGTTGTCCCCTTTACATGATTTTCCTAGGAACTGACCATTAAGGTGTCAGCAATCTCAAACTCTGGATGTCATCCTGAATTGACCACTTGAAGTCCTTGTGCTAGACCAGCCACAGAGATCAGCTCTCTAGTCATACTGACATAATAAAAGAGTTAATGAAATTTTAGAGACTTGAATTTGCCTCTATTATTGCCCATCCCCAAGTTATTAACTTTGCATGGCATGTCCCTCATTTAATTAGTGCAAATGCAATACTGTGATAGAACAAACTTAATATGCTTAAGCAAATAAACCTTCTTCTCTGGAGGTCTTCGAAACCCGCCTGGATGCCACCCTGTGCCACATGCTGTAGGTGTGCCTGCTTGAGCAGGAAGGTTGGACTAGATGATCTCTAGAGGTCCCTTCCAACCTTAAATATTCTGTGATTCTGTGAAAAAGATGGGGATTCAGCATTCTGGATAGTCTGAAACAAACAGGGAAAGAAAGAAGGGGCTGGAAATTTAAGAATTAATAGCTACAAAGAGCTATTACTTACTTTGCCCTCAAGATTCCGTGTATATAATTCAATGGCAGTGTATCTCTGCAAGGAGGAGATTCTTGTCTGGCAGCTCACTCAGAAGCAGCTACTTGGAAGCAAAAAGCCTGCCATGCTGAAACCTCAGGGACGGTCTGAAAGGATCACTTCTGAAAACGACAGCAGCAGACCCTATTCCAAATGGCCTAGCAGAGCTGGCAAGCACGTGTTTGATTTGGGCATGGGTTGAAGCCTGAACTGTCAACTGGTTCCTTGTATCTCAAGTTTTCTCTTTCTCTGATGTAGTTGACCACAACACCAAGAGGAGTCCAAGTTAGTCCCAGCTTCACTATTCAAGAATAATGCAGCCTTTCCAAATTCATGCCAGGGATGCCTCATCACACAACAGCATTGTGGAGACTCACTCTTTCTGCATCACATACAGTCTTATTAAAAGTAATAAAAAATATGACTGATAGGCACTCATTAATCATGAAATGCCTGAATTTGGGTTCATTAATCAGACTGCACAAATTGTTGCAAAATTCAGCAACCTTCGAGCTATCCATTTTGATATAGACATTGATATTTAGCCATTTCATTTTTCTAAATATTGTTTAAATATTTTGTGTAAGCCTTAAAATACCTTTTTTTTTTCTGCAGCACAGTAAAAATGGTTCATACATGGGATATTTGTGAATCACTTGCTTTACAACTAGATCAGAGCTGCTTTCAGAGAACAAATATTCTGAAAGCATTCAATATGAATTGAWAAGCACAAAGTTTGCAAAAGAGGAAACTGAAACAGAATAGTGTGATACTTTTACATTTGTTTAATTCTTAACTCAGTACCAATACCACAGTTTATAACTTTATTATAGACCTCTTGATCTCAAGATGTGGATTTCTGTTCATAGAGCAGAGGCAAGAAGGGCATTTTGCTAGTGTTCACATTGATTCTTCTTTGCCTTTTCTTTCAGTAAGCTAAAACATATAATATCTTCCTATTAAAGATCTTTCATCAGAGCTATCCTTATTCTTTCCATTAGCAAAGACTATAAGAAAATTATCTAATCTATTTAGTCTTTTTGATATGAATACTGAAATTATAAACCCGTGAGTCCAAATGCTATGGACATGATTATTCCTGTAAATGCTGGGCAACTGAGAACATCAGCCTTCATATCCACAGATTCATCAAAAAATTGTCTTCCCTAACTCTGCTCCGATCATCCCTGGGGAAAGCTGCCAGTCTTACCTAGTGGTTGTTGACAGCCTAGCTCAGCTTCCTCACTACTGCTACGATTGCAAACATGTTCATTACAGTTAGCACAAGTGCCATTCTTACAGAAAGTACCCTGATACAAACAAGTATCATAAAAATGAAATCAACTCTCCCAGCTTCTGAGACAGTAGAGGGTAAAAGAATGGTTTCTTTTCTGTTTGTGAATGAATTGTACGCATACATACATACAATTTCCATAGATTTTATGTATTTTTATTCCTAAAAACACTTGAGCCTGGTGGCCCACTTATGGAGATCCCAAAACACAACACCTCTACTAAACCACCAAAAAAACATTAAACAAGATCCAGACTCTTGTAGCGCATTTGCTCAGAGACTTGTAGTGATTTTGTTTTCCCAATTTTATTAATATTTTTGAAATAAATTTTCACAAACAGCAGATGGAGTAATTTGTGCTGGATTTCCCATGTGAACAGTTACTGCTAACTAAATGAAAGTGGAATCTCTACATGGGTGGGTAACTTCAACCTTTTTGAAAGGTAAGGAGACTTGGTCTTGTTTGGAAGGCAGAACAAATAAGAATAGATGGACAGAATTCCAAAGACTTTGGAATGCCTGTCTGGTACCAGATCAAAAGTCCATCTAGCTCAGCAACCTAGTTCTAATTTTGTACAATGAGGAGTCTAAAAACAGGAAAATTACACATCAATAGTTTCCCCATAACTATTCCCAAGATTTGCAGCAATATTCTGATCCAGAGATGGAATCTTTGTCATTAATCGCATTTGATAGATTTTTCCTTTATGAATTTAGTTGATTTTTGAAGCCCTGTGAATTTTAGCAAGCACTACATCCTGCAGCAAAGAGTTCCACAGCTTATTTGTAACTCCAGTTTGCCTCCATCTATCTACCAGCTTAATTTGCTTCTGGATTGGAGGCTTCAATACACAATTATTCTGTATTTATATTCTGTATGCCATTTTGTGGTGTGCTGGATATCTGTCATCTTGAGTTATGTTTTTGATACACTGGATCCAGCCATATAAGTCTTTTTTTTCTTTCTTCTTTTTTTTCTTTTTTTTTTGGCATGTCTGTTCCATCTTTAGTTTTACAAAAATCTTTTTGAGACATAGGGACCAGAAGTGCTTGCAGTATTTATGATCTGGTGCCTCACATATTTACACAATAGTATAACACTATAACACTGTTCTTTGTGTTTCTGTGTCTCTGTTTCTCCCCTAATAATTCCTCATGTTTGATTTTAATTTCTGGCTGCTAGACAGCATTGATTCAATTATTTTTCACAGACCTAGCAATACATCATGGCTTTCTAACTGAGCRGTAATGGCTACTTCAGAGTCCATCACCGTACATGTAAAATTAGGGTACTATTTTCTCACATGTCTTACTTATCATTTATTAGCGAGAACTATTTATTCTCATTGGGATAAAGACAAAGATAATAGCTCTTAGATGCCTGTGGGAAGTAGCGTGTGGGGATAGATGACAGTATGTGTGTAAAAGAACCAGACAAGGGCTCTGGTTGACTGAGGAGAAAAAGTACACTTCTAAGTTATGTGTCAGGATAGGACATGTACTAACATGACATCTTGTTTTCAAGTATGATTTTTGTTGCACTAACTCTTCTTTTTGCTACATTATCAAAATTATGATAAATAGAACAGTAAGGTGARGCTCAAGAGAAGAGAGCTTATTTCACTCTAACACTACTGCCTGGTTATAAATATGCACACTGGAAGATAAAGATGGTACCTAGCTTGGAAAATCAGAAAGGAGGGGAAACATTCAAGGTTATAGAGGAAATCCAAACTAAAATTGGGTGGGACTGCACTTTTACCCTTATGCACCAGAGGTCCAAGCTTGACAGAGTGCTAAGAACTTGGTTTGCTATGTACTCCTTGGACTTTCCACTTGAACTCCTTGGCGAAAGAGCATCTAACGTCACCATAAAACAGAGGACTCAGAGCTTCAGATAGCAAGCTACAAAAAAATGACACTTTTATTTCTTTTTCAATACTACCTTTCTCCACTTAATCAGATCTGACTTCTCCCTCCTTATCAGAAGAAATTCTATCCTGATTCAGATTGCAGTCTGTGTAACTTCTTTTTGCCTATTAAGTAATGTATCTTC